TCACCCCCATCTCCCTCCTCTCCTCCACGAAAACATAAGAGATCTCCATTTGTGCATGGTTTTTATGGATCTTGGGGCCAAATTGAGGAAGGTAACCTTTTTCAATCCCTTCAATTACCTTTTGTCAAATCCTTTTAGTTTTGATACATTTTTGGCACTAGGTGCAGCCTAGTTCCTCATTACGATTCAATATGAACTTAGATTGACACATGTTTTTTGTGTGGTTGTATATGCGTGGGTATATGGATATGTGTGAATGTTGCCACCTAGCTCCTCAATATGTGTTTTGGTATGCACATGTATGGAAATGTTGTTGAATGTTGCTATGGTGATGCTTGAATGTATGGATATGCTTATGCTGATGATCAGGGTTAGATTATGGTGATGCTTCTGGTTTTATAGCAAGAACTAGGTTTAGGTCACTCACTAACATTCTCGCTAAATACTCATGTAGGATGGACAACATTATCAACATTGGGAAAACTTATGAGGCGGCGGAAGAACATCGACGCGAACTCATCGAGGGAGAGATGAACATGTGGGTAAAGAGTTGTGACAAGGCGTATTCAACTACGAGGGAGTTTAATCCATATTAGTTCATTGAGTACCCTCCAAAGGCTGTCGCTCAAAAAGAAAAGAGTCTTCGTGAGCTTGAGAGGAAGGAAGAGGATAATAGAAATGATCTGCATTGATCACATTTTCCGTTAGTAGGAAAGAATTTGATCCAATGGACCTGAAAGGACTGGGTAGATCATTGGATGGGCAATCAAGGAATGAGCATCGCCGATACCTGGCCATGTTGCTCACTGGGATTGGGTTCGCAAAAGAATGAATGTCGTCAGTTACTGGTCGGGATCCAATGATATTCGATTGGAGCCTATGCCACAACGTGACCTGAAAATTACAAACATGAATTTTTGTAGGGATCAGATGCATCAAGGCCCCCTTTTCGACGCTTTGACATTGTTTGAAGAGCTCCTTGATGTTTTATGTCATTTGAACTCCAAGATGTCGTATGTCATTTGAACCCTATGGTATCGTATGTCATTGGAACTCCAAGATGTATGTCATTTGAACTAAGTGTGTATGTTCCCTTTTGAACTCGAAAATGTTGCATGTCATTTGAACTTAGTGATCCTTGTGCAATTTGCTTAAAATACTTTTTTTATTATTGGGATGAAATTCTGTTATATTAGCTATGAAATTAGTTGAGATAAAAAACCAAAATTCTAACAGGTATTTAACTCGTGCAAGCAATGTTAGGGCCCTACCGCCATAACCTCGAGTTGTAAGGTCCTGCAACTTACTGTCAAAACCTTGATGGTAGGGCCCCATGCCCTACTGCGCCCAAAAACTAGTACCGTTTTGCTAAGAGCATCTCCAGCCGTTGGCCCCTCAGGGGGCGCCTAAAATCACCGCCTGGGGGTGACCCGGCGCAAAAAGTGGGTCTGGGGGCGAGTTGGCCCCAGGGCCGGCCCCAGGCGTGAGAAAAAAAAACATTAGGCAAAGTTGGGCTGAAACACGCCACTTTTCGGCAAACATGAGCTTTCATATTCGCAAATTTGGGCTAAAACACGCCATTACATATGAAAACTAGTCAAAGAAAAAAACTTGCTGAAGGCCGAGAAGTCGTCGTCGTCGCCGCCATCGTCGGCCTTGTCCTCCTTGACTCGGGTGCCCCTGCTGGACCCCTCCTCGGCTGGTGGCGGCAGCGGCGGCACGTCGTCGTCGTCGTCGCTGTCGTCGATGATGACGCCGCCGCCTTCGTCGCGGCCTCGGCGGCGCTGCGCGAAGCGCTCTAGGGCGGCGCGCTGGCGCTCCCTCGCCATCTTCAGGGAGTCTTGGCGTGCCCATTCAAGGGCCGCGT